AGTACAGATGGTAGTCTCCCATTCTGTCAGGAATTCACACCAATGGGTTCACGGCACTGGCGGGACATGTTCTGGATGTTGATATTTCTGGCACATTTAATTGTGATAGGTTTGGCTCTTGGGGTTTCAGGACTCGATAGTTTTAGGAAAAGAAATAGGCTGCATGCTTATAGTCGCTGGTTTACTCCTGTCGAGAATATGGATGATCTAACTAAAGATTTCTGGGAGTAGTTTAAAAAAAAAAAAAAGAATCAAACATTTATATGACAAAGGACAGTTAATCAGATCCTTCAAAATTAGTGATAAACCAATCAATCCTAGAAGCACAACAAGATTGAAGATTGCGTTGACTTCTTGTCAACTCAATTTTTTTTTGTCAATGAAGGATCCAGTTTTCATGATGTTTACTAGTAGGCAATACTAAAAATACTAACACCAAGATCCACTCAAGATTAAGTACCAGAAAACAGAGAAATTTTTTATAATATCAACATATAAGCTAACCAAGAAATATAGCTCTAAAATAACTTATTTAATCAGTGTAATTACCTTTTTCTCTTTTGATTTGGTAGATCTTTCCCCATCTTGCAGTGCCTCAAACCCAAACTTCTTGTTGTCATATATATCCTTCATCCTTGCCCTGAGGAACTCAATCTTTTTCCCCACACTTCGAAGCTTTGCTTGATAATCGAATATATGAAAAGCCCTCTCGATGCTAGTCCTTGACTTGTGCACAGCTGCCTGAGCAACAAATGTGTCCACAGTATCTTCAGCTTCATAAACTTCATCTCTGATTCGTTTCGCCAATTCTTGAGGGATGGCACTCTCGTTCCGCTTCTCGATCAAGTCCTCGCGGAAAGCTTTGAGCAAACTCACTACATTGGAGAAATCACCGTAGACATCTTTAAAAAGAGTTTGGAAGTTGCTGGAAGCCTCTAAATCTTTTGCTCTCCATTGCCATAGCTAGAAAAATTTGGAAGGATTAGTGCTTATTTTATTGAAATTATCTAGAATAATGAAGGCCATATCCACCGGCATTATAGAACTATGTAGAAGAAGAAACCACCGCCATAGAAGAAGCTTCAACCACCGACCCTTTTGCTTATATGTGTGTGTGTGTGTTTGCTATGTGCGTGTGAGAAAAGTGCAGAGAGTGATGAGAGAGTCTGTTAGCGTAAGCAGAGAGATAGAGAAAGAGAGTGAGAAAGAAAAGCAGCAAGAGTGCTTTGATAGTGAGTGACTGAGTGGTTAGAGAGAGAGAGTTAGTGGGATATTTTAATAATTAGACACTGCATTAGTTTGAGTATCAAAGTGTGTGTTTCCCATACATTAAAATTGTATAGAGTGCAAAATTGTCTTAATAAACTATCATTCCTTTTGTATTAAATTCAACACTCATTGTAAAGAAATTCCACCTGACTATTAACTTCAAGAATCAGATTTGCATCGTTAAGAAGCAGCTGCTTCAAGTTTTCTAGCAGAAATTCTACAGCAGCATCAGACATTTTTCCGTCGATTAATTCTTGATTAAAAAGGAAAATCTATCTTTATATTGTAGCTATACATGGTGTCCCTTGCATTAAAAGGGAAAAGAAGCCCATCAAATCAATTCCACAAGAATATGCATACATAGACTAAGGATCTGAAAGCTTACCAGAGAAAATATGGATTTTCCAGCTGGCTTTTTGTAGAGGGGGTGATCTGAGGAGAAGCAATATGAGCCAAAACTATTTTCTTACATTTTGAATACTAGAATTTGAAATCTAAAATTAAAAAGAAATCTATTTATTTCTAAACGGCTAAATCTATATTCACCTTTAATGCTCAAGAAGGCTATGGAAGAACTGTTACTTGAATCTAATCTTGAATGCCTTCCATTTTCAACATTTTGTACTTCTCTTGGCAAACTCAAGGATAGTTCATCAAAATCCAGTGATAAGGAACTGGAACTGGAACTGGAGCTTGGGCTTCTCGAATCCGCACGGGCCACTTCCCGATCCTTCTCACGCCGCAGCACAGCTACCACCAACCTCTCCCAGCTGTCATAATTCCTAGACATCTCTGTTCAGCTTCAACAACTTCAACTACACACAATTATAGATATTGTTTAAGTGGTTAGAGAGAGAAACTCTCAACTAGTGAGAGAATCCCTCACGCCTCTTGCAATCTGAGTTTTCCGGGGTACTTTTAAAAAGAATTTTGCTGAAGTGTCCAAAAATTTGACATTGGAGTTGACCGACCCTCACATTTACGCATGGATCCTCCCGAAGGAACATATAACTATATATTGTAGCTATACATGGTGTCAAGTAAAGATGATAAAGCTCGAAGCTTGAAGAAAGAACTCAGATAAAGCTTCGTTATTTTCAGGAAAGTGCAGAGGAAG